TGTCCACCACCGCTCTCTGGGTGCGGCCCTCCAGCCAGTTGGCGACCCATCTGACTGTGTGGGTGTCGACATCACAGTCCCCCAGTTTCTTAATGAGAACGGGGTGAGAGACAGTGTCGAAGGCCTTCCGAAAGTCCAGAAAGACTACGTCCACTGCTACCCCTGTGTCTAAGGATTTGGTGACCTGGTCGTAGAAGGCCACCAAGTTGGTCTGACAGGACCTGCCTCGAATGAACCCGTGCTGGTTGCCCTTAAGCATGACCTCCCCTGCTGGCCCCTCGTGGATGTGTGCCAGGATAATTCTCTCAAAAAGCTTACCCAGGATTGAGGTAAGACTAACTGGCCTATAGTTTCCCAGGTCCTCCTTCCTCCCTTTTCTGAAGATGGGAACCACAATGGCCCTCTTCCAGTCCTCTGGCACCACACCAGAGCCCCACGAGTGCTCATACAGCCGTGCCAGGGGTCCCGCAATGACCTCGGCTAATTCCCTCAGCACTCGGGGGTGGAGATCGTCCGGACCAGCTGATTTGAATACGTCCAGTCCCTCCAGAAGCTCCCTGACTAGATCCTCCCTGACCCTTGGCTTGGGTGCGCCTCCCCTGGGACCTACAGGGGTCCTGGTGTGGGGGGTGACCCAGTCCCAGCTCAGAAAAACGGAGGCAATGAAGTTGTTAAATAGGTTATCTTTGCTGTCTGGTGTGACGACCAGATTTCCTAGAGTGTCCTGCAGGGGCCCCACGTTACCTGGTACCTTCTTTTTACCCCCTATGTATTTAAAAAAGGACTTCTTGTCGTCCTTGATCCGGGTAGCTAGTCCCAGCTCCATCTCCGCCTTGGCCTTCCTGACCGCCCCGCTACGAACACGGAGGTCCCCGGACTCCACAGAAGGGATTAGCAATGTTTGAATACCTGACCTGAAATTCCTTACAGGGACCTGGTTTAGTGGCTGGGTGCTCAGCAAACCACTTTATAGTGCCTCAAGCCCTAAACCACTAGTGGCTTTCACAGATCTTGGCCTTGATGGTACCTTACATCATCTCAGCAGCGTTCTGCTCACCATCATCTTCCCCAGAGATTTATATCCAAAATAATGATTTCCCCAAACGGCTCCATCAGTGTTTGGCAGGCAGGAGACACTGCTGTATCAGGGGTGGAAGAGGGAGGATGCTTTGCTGTTCCTCGTTGTAGGTTCATCATTAGCATCTTGGCTGTTTCTAAAGCTGGACAAGACAAATAACTAAAAATCAATCCGTGGCTGAAGACCAGCATTCCCAGAGTGATTGCATCAAACAAAGCTGGCAATAAATTAGGCAGAAAGAGGGAAACCTCCCCCCACAAAAAAGAGAGGAAGAGAGAAGAGGTTTGGAGAAACTCATATAGCTAGCCCGGGACTTTTGACCCTGCCTCTTATGGACATTTTAGGGCTCCATCATCACTTGACTCCTTGTGCATTGCAAGTGTCGGGTCTCTCCACAAGCAAAAGTTTGGAGGCATTTAGACTCAGGTCAGGTGTAGAGACTCTGTGGGCTCCCCTGAACAAAACCCTGGAGGATGCGGGCCCTCGGGCTCCTCAGAGGCCTTGTGTTTGGCCTTTTCACTCCACGGCAGAACTGCCACCAGCCCCTGACCCTGCTCCAAGGCGAAGTCAGAGTTCACTGGAGGCTAAAGAAATCGCACCGCCTGCTTGGTGCTGTGGCAGGGGTGGGGTGAGGGGAGCCAGCTCTGGAGGACACTTGGTGAATGGTCCCTTTTATAAAAGGAATATATAGCTGCTGTGGTTTCTATGAAACTCCTTTGTCTCCAGTTTATTTGTCCGGGTGCAGCCCCTTGGGGGAGGGTAAAACAGACGAAAGGCCACAGAGGCTTTCATACAGCCCGTGCCTATAAAGCCCTGGGTTGGGGTGACTTCCTTGTTAAGTTGGGTTAACGCTGTTATGTGTCAAAAGCAGCCCCTCCGCATGGTTTATGTTTTAGGGCTGCGGCAGCTGCGCGTCCTGAGGAGGGCTGCAGGGGAGGCGCTGGGAGGGGACGAGGGAGGATTGGGGTAAGGATCTAGCAGAAGACGATGCACCTCCCCAGGAGGCAATCACCATGAGAGGGGTGCTGCCTTTAAGGGGGGGATTGGGAGGGTGACAGCACGAGCCCTGGAAGCAGAGCAAATCCCTTTCTAGCCCCGCTCCCCAGTGCTGGCACCTAAGACAAAAGGGAGCTCACGCTTGGGTGGCATCCCCAGCTCTTGTCCCAGTCCATCCAGCTTGCAAGACGGCAGTTTCACCATAGCCCGAGACCTGCGGACCACGCTGGGTTGGGGGAAACAGGGCTGTCGGGTCCCCTCGGAGACCCCATTGGGCCCTGCGAGGTAGTTTCCTTAGCTATAGCTGCCTGCTTTGACAGAAGGGGTCTCTAGCAAGGCAACATCTACAGCAGGAAAAGGCCCAAGGTGCAGGCTGCTTCCCAGGCAAGCTCCTCACTCCCAAGGCCCTGGGGGTAGATTAGGAAGCTCCTTCCCAACTGGCTGTTTTGGTGGGTCCCAGGAGAGGGGGTGGACGTGACTGGCACAGGCGAGGATGCTTAGGAGCACAGGTTTCCCACCGAGCTCACAGCAGACTCCTTCCCTGCTGGGATATGGCTGCTAAACGAGCCCCCCCGCCAACTTTGGCAGATATTTAAGGTCCATTTTTAAACTGACCCTTTCATGCATTTCACACCTTGCAGTGCTTACTTTCCTAAGGCAACCCCCCAGCCCAGGGCATTCGTCTAGATTCCTGATCACCGCGCCGGCTGTGATTATTCAAGTTTCATCTCAGTGCCCACGCTTGCCCAGGTCTTGGGGGATCTCCTGATGGTAGATAATTAGAGGAGAGGGGGCAGGATTTACTGAACCTCTCTAGTGCTGCCCGTCAGTATGGGAGAACATGGTAGAGCACGGAAATGTTGAAGTTATTTGGGACTTTGTTGGGCAACCTCTTTGCTCTGAAGAGCAGGGGTTCAGCTGTTCCTCTCCTTTGGTTGCTGTGGGCAATAGGAATGATGTTTCCTTTTCTCTCTGTACTTTTTCCCTTGGAAAACTATTACTTTTTTTTTAGGACTTAGGATTAAATCGGCTACCTGCTGCCTCAAGCTGTGAACAGCATAAGCAGTAGCGGCACATAAAACAGGTCACAGAGTGTTGGAAAGCATTTATCCCAGAGGCAGTCGTGGAAAACCCCTGCTTGAGTCATTTAGGGCTAGTCAGGGCCCAGCACCAGAGCACAGGCTGTAGAGACCAGAGCTGCATTACTTGGGAGTGACACAAAAGATGATTTCATTGGGCTTTTCCATCCCTACCTTTTGTGGTTTTGTGCATCTGTCCACAGAGCATATTAAGAAGAGCACCAACCCCCCGCATTCGAAACCCATGACTCAGCTCCACCCAAATCTGGGAAATGCTCATGCGATTTTTTAAAAATAGTAAATTTGAGGGCGTTCGTGGCACCAGCATCTTTCCATCATTTGGGTTCGTGTGGGTCAGGCTTTTATGCTTTTCCTCTACAACCCCAGGGCCCAGCCTCTTTGTCAATGGAAGCTGAGATTCTTACACAATCCTGCGATTCCAGGAGCTGGGCCATTGGGAAAGACACCAAATATCATACAGCCGGAGATGAAACTGCGCAAGCTGGAGACACCACAAGAGCTTTATAGATGCAATTAGTGAATAGCAATTACTCTTTAGAAAATGTTGCGGGGATAGCAATCAGAGCCTCATAAATCCTAGGAAATGCCTAAATGTGAATGCAGTCATTAGACTTCTGCAGATTATTCTCCTCATTCATTAAGTACCAACAAGGGGCTTAGAGTGAAGCATGCTACAAAATCAGGACAATCCTAGCTCTAGGAAGCCTCATCCAGAACCACTGACGTCAAGAAACAGGCTCCCCATTGACTTCAACAAGTGTAGTTTGAGCAGTGAATGGTCCGCGGGAAGTGGCTGATCCTACGGTGATCTGGAAGGGCCACAAAAGCTAATATTATGCTAGATGTGGGGCATTTTCTGTGCACACTGCAGCCAGGAACGGTGATGTCAGGTGCTTTGCTTGGACAGACGGGGTGGCCTAGGACAGACAGACACAATCATTGCTAGGAGCTCCTGTGTTTTAATTTTATTTCTTCCACCAACTACATATACCATAACCTTGGGAGCATCCCTTCTGTGTGCCTAGCCTTCTCGATCTATGCCAACCTTGCCAACTTGCTTCACAGAGGACTGACTGGCTCACGACCCACTGGAAATGTTAAATGCTGGATGAATGCTATGTGTTGTTAGAAAAGGCCAGATTTGCTACCAATTTGTTGTAAACTCTTGACTGTCTCATGTTTGGTAGCATCCACCGGACTTGTTTAAAAATATGCCCTGAAAGCATCGCACATGAAGATTTATAGCTGTCGTGCTGACCTGCTTGATAATGCCCTTCTGTTTAGTTTTTAAGAAGGTGAAGTGAGACAAGGTCTCAAGGGGTCAGAACAGCAGGGAACTCAGCCAGAGAAGGGGTCTGAGGATTCAGGGCAGAGGCCATGGCTATCCATATAATATAAGAAGAAAAGCCTTTTGCTTATCCCTGGGTTTTGGTGACCAGCCATTCAGCCTCTGCTGTTGGGTTTCGCACCATCCAGGCTTCGGAGAGAGTTACCATCAAATCATAGAAAACAAGGGCTGGAAGGGACCTCCGGAGGTCACATCTTGTCCAGCCCCCTGCTCAAAGCAGGACCATCCCCACCCAACTAGATTGTCCCAGCCAGGGCTTTGTCTAGCTGGATCTTAAAATCCTCTAAGATGGAGAGTCCACCACCTCTCTGGGTCACCTGCTCTAGTGCTTCACCACCCTCGCAGTCAGAAAGTTTTTCCTAATATCCAACTTAAACCACCCTTGCTTTAACTTGAGCCCATTGCTCCTTGTTCTGTCATCTGTCACCACTGAGAACAGCCCAGCTCCATCCTCTTTGCAACCCCTGTTCAGGGAGTTAAAGGCTGCTATTAAGTCCCCTCTTAGTCTTCTCTTCTCCAGACTAAATAAGCCCAGTTCCCTCAGTCTCTCCTCGTCAGTCATGTGCCCCAACCCCCAAGCTATTTGTGTTGCCCTCCGCTGGGCTTGCTTCAATTTGTCCACATCCTTTCTATAGTGGGGGGCCCCAAAAGTGGACAAGGTACTCCAGATGTGGCCTCACCGGTGCTGAATAGAGGGGAATAATTACTTCCGTTAATCTGCTGGCAAGGCTCCTACTAATGCAGCCCAGGACACCGTTAGCCTTCTTGGCAACAAGGGCACACTGCTGGCTCATATTCAGCTTATTGTCCACTGTCACCCCCAGGTCCTTTTCTGCAGAGCTGCTGCTTAGCCAGTCATCCCCCAGGCTGAAGCGGTGCATGGGTTTCTTCTCTGCTAAGTGCGGGACTTTGAACTTGCCCTTGTTGAATCTCATGAGATTTCTTTTGGCCCAAATTTGTCTAGGTCACTGAATCCTAGCTCTACTCTCCAGCGTACCTACTGCAACCCCCAGCCTGGTGTCATCTGCGCACTTGCTGAGGGTGCACTCCATCCCACCTTCCAGATCGTTACTGAAGATATTGAAAAAAACCAGACCCAAGAACCAACCCCTGGGGCACTACACTCAATTCCAGCTGCCAGCTAGATATTGAGCTATTGATTGCTACCCATTGAGCTTGAGTAATGGCATCGTGAGAGTCATCATCCCATTCCCAGCTCTGCCACTGATGCACTAAATGCCCTTTGGCAAGGCCCCCAACCTTGCTGATCCTCAACTTTTCCTGACTCTGAGCAAAGGGTAGTTGCAAGGCTGAATTAATTATTGTTTGCAGCTCACCTTGTGGGAGCTACATAGATCCAGATCTTGCCCATGCCTGCTGGCATGAGAAATGCTGGATGAAGCCCGAACGATTACTCCATCCAGGAGCATTGGAGGGGAGAGGGGAGAGAATGCCAGAACACTTTCCCTTCTGCAGCTCAGTTTCGAGGAAAACTTGCCCTTTCACAGTTGTTTAAGCAAAATGTCAGCGAATGCTAAATGCTCACAGCCACATATGTTCTGTGCAAGAGAGAGGCTCCATAAATCAGGGAGCAGTTAGTGGGAAAAAATCAGGTTCCAAGGAGGAAAACAGTAGGATATGGGCTCTCTTTCCCCCCCACCCCCCCGCAAGCCGGGGCTGCAGTGTTTGGGTTTATTATGCGGCCCAGCAGCGAAGGAATTCATCACATTGTCACCCCCCTCTTCTCTTTTTTTTTC